AGTTTGTGCGTTTAAGCTATAAACTGGCATTGCCAAATAAAGACTTGGCATTTTTCATACCCTTATCTTTTAGCCTGGGTACACTGATTATTCTGGCAAGAAGTAGATGCCCAGTTCAGTTTTAGAAGTTTGTCTGCCTCACATTTTGTTTGTCCACCAGTGTGAAATCTCCTGTCTAGTTCCTGGAGGGAATATGATGAGGGGCAAGAAGGTAATGAGGTTGCTTTGTTACAAAGATTTTTTTTAAATAGCATGGAAAGAGATAAAATTGGAAAACAAATCCTTTAAACGTTTACGGCATTTATTACTATCCCTTGAATTTTCAGGGTTTATGGAGGGGGGAACAACTCCTCTGAGAAACGCACTGTGTGGGGCATGAAATAAAATTGTCATGGTTCTTTTAGAGTGGTTGATACTTTTAGGGGGAAATGTTTGATGAAAACTCAGATCTATCCTGGTGTAGCCAGAGGTGACTAATGACAATCACCTGTAGATGGGGCATCTGTCACCTGTTAATTAAAATTTATCCCTCCTAATACAAGAATAGGATGGATAGAGAGAGAGAGAGGCTGTTTCCTTTGTCTGTTTACAGTGTGAGCACAGTTAATAGGCAGGAACAACTCTGCTGAGCTCAGCTTGCTATCTGGCAGCCTAAGCAATTGTAGATGGACTTTTGTATGCTTGTCTTCATTTTCCTTTTCCTTCTAACCATAGGATCTAGATAAAACTCAAGACATAAAGAAACACCACGCCAGCATCAGTGAGTTAAAGAAGAACTTTATGGAGTCCGTCCCGGAGCCCCGGCCTAGTGAATGGGATAAGCGCCTGTCTACTCACTCCCCTTTCAGAGCACTTAACATCAATGGGCAGATCCCCACAGGAGTAGAAGGAGTGAGTACCTTGTACAGTGTACTATAGATGTAGTTTGTTTGTGTGCATTTTGTTTCTTTTTAATGGTGTGGCAACAAAATATTAACTTAAAATTGGACTTACCTTAGTTTTTGTGTTATTTCAAATGTCTGTTTTGGTGTTTTTAAAGAACAAAGTTATTCCTGGCAATACTAATTTTGAACTTTATTACAATTTTCTGGGATACTGTGTAAAACAGTATTGAAAGGTCCCCACCTGGCTCTGTTTACCCTACTTTAATGTTGCTCATATCCCTAACATCTGGGATGTTATTCCAGATGTTGTTTGGGGATCTGCCTTATTAACAGTACTAAGGAAATCTCATTCACGTTGGAAAATTTCAAAATTGCTGTAGATAGTGTTCTTAAAATTAAGTTGCAATCTCCAGTGATAGGGAAAAACATTTGGATGGCGTCTGAGAGAAGAAAAGGTCTAACACGTTAATTAGTTGGAGAGAAACCCCATTAAGAGGATGTTGCCTGAAATTGGGCCACAATCTCCTAGCAGTCTGTGCGTACCTCTGTGTCTCTGGAGCCCTTCTAAGGTCAATAGGGGACTCTTTATGGGCACAAGGGTACTTGCATGGTTTTGCTCCCCACTTCACAAAATAATTTTATTTTGGGAAACTGGCATTCATAGCTTTTAGTAATCATGAATACGGAGAAGCTTGTTGGTTACTATCATAAGAACTTTTTTATTTTTTAATACAAGCAAGCAGGACAATAAATCAATCTGCTAACGTGTGTCTTCCTTGATGCTAGTCAGTATTCCTGTTTAATTACTGTTAAGATTACTTAATTGAAATTAAAGCTCCCAGAAGACATTGCAGCAACTTCTTGAACAATAAATCTTGTCTCCTTTATAGTCCGTGGCAAAACAGCCACTGATTTTTTTGGCCTAGAGTTTACTTTCACAATTCCGTTGGAGGTTTTTTTGTGTCTGACCTGTAAATCATGCAATCATATGTATAATATTGTAACATGGAATAAAGTCGAGGGGGGCTGAAGGGGAAGAGAGGATTTCTTTTTTAAAGGATGCAAGACCTTAACAGCAACTTGATATATTAAAATCAGTTTAAAGTTCAGCCAGGGTAGGAGCATGACAACTATGGATCTTATTCCCTGTCCAATATTTAGTTGTAATATGAATTGATATACTTTCTGGAAGTCCCAACTCATTTGTTAAATACATATTAGGCTATTTTACTAGAGAGTCTCTGAACCTTGATATAAGCAATCTTTGTGCAGGTTGCTTGGCAGAGAATACTTCTCCCAGATGAGGATATGGGATAGAGTGTGCTTGTAAATGCACAACTACAGTGATTACGTTGCTAGCTCTCCTATGACACTGTATACGATTTGGTGCTAGTCCTGTGTGCCTCAGTTCGTTGCTCTGCATTTCTGGATGATCCATGACCTGTGACACGGTCCTTTTCAAAATGGCATTCATGCCAAGGCGGTTTAGGCTCAAATGTCTTTCTGAGGAACTTCCAGAAATGACTTCTCAGTGCATGAGGAGGACGGAGGCACCTGCAAGAAGACACATGGGTAGTATTTTACTTAAACATTTTCAAATGTATAAGGAAGGTAAATGTTAATGTAAAATAATTCTCTGTCTTGCCATTCACTGCATTAACCTTTTTTTTTTGCTATGACAATGATGTTCTGTAAGAGGTTATCTTTCTACTATTTCTGTATGCTGTATTACAAAGCAACTGAATGTTACACACTTTGTGTATGTCCAGGTCAAGAAAGTCACTGTCCTATCCTCTGAGAGAAAGGTTGGTGGGCTTGAGGTAAAGCTGCTGTTCTGATATGTGCTTCTGAAGCAGAATTTTGCTTTTGTAATGGCACTAAGCAAAAACCCAACAGCAGCTGCTAAGTAGCATTTTTCTTTTGGCCACATCAAGTAGTTTCACATCACACAGCCTCCAGACCTAACACCTAAAGGATTTGCACTGCTGCAGCTTTTGCAGCTTTCAATTTGCTTATTTCAGTGCATGGCTGGTTGAAAAGCTGCATGAAGATGTAACCGTGTATTCGGAGAGAAAAACAATTATGAAAGTTTAACTGTACCCTGTTCTTTTTTATGTTGTCTTTCTTTCCATTTTGTTTTTTGTTTTAATAATCATGTTACTCTTGCATCTTATTATTTTTCTTTTGCTGCCCAGTCTCCCAGCTACTTTCTCCCTGATACTCATCACTTAGGGGTGTGCAAAGAACCAGTCCCCAAATTACAAACTGATCAAAGGAGGTTGGCTCAGTTGAGAGAGCTTAGGGCCAAATTTTTTCTTTCATAAATGTGCCTGGGTTGATTATGCTTATTAGTTAAAGAGATGGCAGAGATTTTTTTAACAGAATGCAACATTTCCCCAAACATTTTTTTTTAAATTTAAGTACTGAATCCCTTTGCATGATACTGTGTGATGGTTTATTCATTATAGTTTTACATTCTTTAGACTGGAAACACGGATGCATTAATGTAAAACAAAATTTAGGGAGTTTGGAATGTTACTGCTAAACTTGTGCATATTCCATGTTCTTGATTTTTTTTTTTTTTTAAGGCATATTGAAGAGTTTTGGATTTCTAACGATATAATTTTTGGAAATAAGTGGAAATTTTGATACTATCTTCAGTACTTTCAAAATAAGATTTTTTTTATTTGCACTAACATCTGGGTGCCAAACATATTGAACTAATGCCATTTTTCAGGCCAGTAGTAGTATAGCAAATTGTAAAAAAAAAACACCAAAAAATGCAGAAAAATGAAAACAAAACAAAACAAAAAAAAACCCCCACACAAAAAAACCCAAACTTTTTATTGGACTATTTCTATTTGTAAAGCAACAAGGAATTTTACTCTGTTCTTTCAATTGTGAGACACGTAAGTGAGATCAACTTACTCTCTCCTAGGGAAACTGGGACAAGTTCAGATGTGCTCACAGGGGTTCATAAGAGATGACCATATCAAACAGTGAACTTAAGAGTATTGCTGAAGTACTTCTGTCCTTTTTTAAGCCACCAAAAGTTTTGTCCTCCAGCAGTTTAAATGACCTAATCTAAATTGGGACAGAGCCCCTGGAAGACCCATTCTAAAACTTTGCACATCCCCAAGTCCCATTTGGAGCACTTTTCATCTGTCATTTTTGTTCATCTCTGTCTTTCTTGATCTTCTGTCACGAAAGCAGACACAGGAACGTCCTCTGTTAGTACAGGATGAAGATAAAATAAAAAAGGAGAAACCTGCTGAGACAGCCTTGCCCCAGCAAGCAAGAGAAGAAACTCTTCCAAAGGTTTCTATTCCGATTCCTGAGGAGCAGAAATCACTCAAAAAGTGCCACCTGTACTCTAATATTTTTCCTTCTCCACGCATTCCTTTTATGATGTCCTTTTTTGTGGTCCTTGTACTGACTGTGTGGTGGCTGATCTTTCTGTGATTGGAAACAGGGTGCTTATTTGAAACATCAAGACCAAAGCTCTTGAATTCTTGGCTGTAGCTTCTACTGCATCTTCTGTGTTTTGCCCTCTGATCTCCATAGCTCCTTATGCCAGGGACATTCTGAAACTATTTTTTACAATCATATTTCTCATTGCATAACATATCGGTTGGCATACCAAAGGAGTGGCAATGGATTCTCCACCCCACTCCACTGTTCTGAACTTTCAACCTTTGCTGTCCATAAGAATTAAATTTTAAAAAGCATGTTACCTATTCAATATCTGTCAAAATCTTCACCTCTTAAGCATGTTTACTGATGATAGTTTTCTTGTTTTTATAGCCCCTTCAAATTTCATACATTGCAGTTTGTGGAAAGGCTTCATTGAAGATGACTCTTACTTTTAAAACCAACACTTGCTTAAATTTGCGTTGTTTGTGGGGGGAGAATTCAGTCTGATATTTAGTGAAAAAGCCTTAAGATTTCCAGCAATCTATAAAGTCTGATCTGTAATCACTCCTGTTCTAAGAGAATAAGATTGGCGGAGAGTTGCCTTTTTCTTTATTTAAAAAAGGCTTGATGTCAGTGGCCTTCTAAAGGATAATTCATGTTCCTAGGGACATTCTTCACCTATTCCCTTTGTGGACGATTCTTTCCAATCTTAATACTGATGTTACTGCAAGCATCTCGGCATATCTTTCATAGCTGTATTCTCCTCTGAATGAAATTTTGTGTAATTTGTCGTGGGGGGAAAAAAAGTCACTAAAAGCAATATTTATTGGAATATATTTATTTCCTGACTCTGATTACCTTGGTGCATATCCATATATATATATCTATATTCTTTTAATTTGTGTTGAACTCACTGAAGTGTGTTTGCTAATGATCATGAGAATGGATGTAATGCCCCCTAAAGTATGTCTTCTTTTTGCATGTTGACTTGCTGCTATTAAGTTTATCTAAACATATAGGAGAGTATTATGCTCAGATCATAATTCTAGTGTTAAGCTGCTTATTTGGATTTCCTTAACAAAAGCTTTGCATGCTACTTATTTGTAAATTGGAGTGTAAATGTGTGGATGATGATTTTATGTATATTATCAAAATTTACACTTGACTATAGATAATGATCAGTTTCTTTTGAAAGCCAAGATTTGATGCTCAGCTGGGATGAGCAGATCTGGCTCACAAAGCAGGCAAAAAATGGGACTTTTCACTTTAGCAGTTATTTCTTCATTATACAGTAAGCAGGAGACAGAGTTAAGCCACCCCATTCTTTTCTAGTAGCAATTTGCATTCTGTTGCTTTCTCTAGGGGTATTTGAGATAGAGGTAGAAATAGTATAGTTGTGGACTGCCACCAATATCTGTCAGTGGTGGCATTCAAACTAAAAGCCCAGAATAGAAAGGAATAGGCATGGATAAAAAAAGAACTAATTTCTGTGTATGCCTGTATGTGTACATGTGTGTATACTCCTTTATACGTCAATCTATGAACACGTTGTTTTTAGAAGTTAACGTGTCCATGTAGATGTATGTGCATGCA